ACGTTGGCCAATTACCGTAGCAAATAATATTAGGAACATCATAACTATATTACTTCGTTCCCAGTTCACATCCAAACACGTGTTTTGCCTCCGAGACTAATGGAATCAAACTCTAATCTATAAATTGGTTTAGGAAAACATAAACAAGTAACTATATTCAGTGTAAGTGAACTGCAATCAGGTATATACGGACGGCTAATACCATTTCAACCTCAAATTATTAGAACAATAAACCTAATATTAATACAGCATAATAATATTTTAGCTACATTATTTTATATTATTTTGAATTATAACCTTTTGTAAACATAAAAAACTGTAAAAAGAAACTATATATGTCATATTAGAAATAGTACCCTTTGACGTATATATGTTATTTTAGTTCCTGCTTGCCTGGTTGTACTGTTCTCTATAGTTCGTTAACTAATATATAAATTCTAATGTATAATTTAATGGGTTAGAATACGAAATGAGAGAAGGGATCCTTGGCTTATAATTTAATGCATCATACCGAGAGGGTCATGGAGGGTGGGAGAAGAAGAAGACAAGAGTGGGAACCACCCGCCGCAGCAACATCCCCCACTTGCCCATTCCTCCTCCCTCGTTTATCAAGTGTGATGTGTGTATAATATTATTTTAACAATTAAAATAATCCTTTAAATGTATAGGTTGTAGCTGCTCATGTTTCAAGTTTTGGACTGTAGCTTAGACTAGGTTTAACCCCAACTTGATCAACTTATATAAACTATGGTTAGTGTCATCAGCCCACATGGTAATTTAGAGTCGATAAAATAAGCTGATTCATCTAAGTCGACTAAATTAATTTAGCACAATTTATTTATAGTTTTATCAAATAAATGTTAATCAGGGTCTTATGAGTACTGTTTAAAAAAATAAAACTAAAACTAAAAATATTTTACAAAAATATAATAAATACATTTTTCTAAATTTTCAAAACATTTTAGTATAAATTTTAATAAAAAATATTTTTACTTTTTAAACTAAGTGTTCTAAGGATATTGGTTGATATTCTTTCTATTAAATTTAAACCACCTCAATTTATTTAAAAGTAAAATGAGAAATTAGCATTTTTTAGCCTGTCCAATAAAAGTTGATGCCTAATGTGGGTCGACCTAATACGAAATGAGTAACCAGTTTTTAGAATGATACGACAGATGGCGATTCAAACCCCACGAGAGAGCACCACCAACAACGATTGAAGGACACAACATTTTTCACATCACTACATCAGCATCCATATTCCATCGTCTAACCCCACCACACATACACACAATCTCTCTCTCTCTCTCTCTCTGTGTGTGTGTGTGTGCATGCGCCCCACCCTCCCCTTCGCTCTTCAACTTTTTTAAAACCAAGGACATATATATTCTTAAAATATTCATGTAAATTCATTTCTTAATTCACTCCACTGAATCTAGTGAAATAACAAATCATTATAATATCCTCACATCACTTTGCTATTACTAAATTTAATCCTCTAATATTTTTCATATACCATTGCAAGATATCGACAGTGTTTCTGTAGTATTAAGTAATGCATTCTAGACAACAGAAGTGCAAAAAGGAAGATGATAATCTGGTTTTGCTAATTTTTTTTGCCCCCCTCTTTTTAAAAGACTAAAATTCTCAATGAGGAAACCTCTGATCGCCTCAAAAAGTAGGTGCTAATAGGAAAGTGGATAAAACTTAATTTAATACCATAAATTTATTCTTTGCGCATCCGTTTTACGCTATAAATAAAAACTTAGGCTACAGTTAGATATTATGATAATAATTGCTACAAAGCATACGATAATGTATTTTTTTTATTCTATTCCTTTCGTCAGACAACAAAACAAACAATGTAAACTTTTTTTCATTCTTTTCTCGATTGTGCATTTTTAAAGAAGTAGTCAATTTTATTTCACCTTGATTTTGTTCTTTTCTTTTTATTTAAATACTTATTATCTACACGCAGATTTCTTAACTAGAAGACTTTCTATTGTTTACGAAATCCAACCAACCCTATTAGCTCTACCAACTATTTGGACCGAATTATGTTCCTTTAAATTAACTTTTGAGGACATATATATATATACACACACACTAAAACCATTTTAAAACCCAATAAATAAAAGTAAACCACAATCTGTACAGAGATCTCCTAGCAACATCAGATTGATGTTAAGTTGTTATGTAATGTTCTTATTATAAAATTCACTTATCTGGCTACAGTCTTTTTTATCTTAATTTTTGGGTAGATGGATAATTTTTTTTTAAAATAGCTAAACTTTTCCTCATTTAATATTTTTTTGGTAAACACTTAATGATTGATAGTATCCCAACAATTTAGTGCATTAACTAGCCTTGTCATCTTAGCATCGATTAACTTTAGGGAGTAAGAGAACAATAACAACTACAACACTGCAACTTGCTCTCTGTGGCGGCCGCATATATAAATTAAATGAAAAATATTATTGAAAATATATTCAAAATTATAATAGAAATAAATGTGACATATAAATGAAAAATAAAACATTAAAATTATGAAAAAAATTTAAAAATTATTATAAATTTTATTTATCAGAATAAAAAATATTTAAACAAACTCATTATACTGATTTTATCGGTTTTTTAAAATTATTTAATGTAAATTTTGAACTTATAATTCTTAAAATTTTTCTCTTAAATGTTTTAATAAAAATATTCATCTATTTCCTCTTAATTTTAAAATATCACCCACTATTACCTTTATTACACTCATATCTCTCCAAACTTACCACTACCCACCCTATTTACACTATTTTTTTTTTGTTTTTTAAATAAGAGTTCAAAATTAACCAAAGAAACTTAAAATTATATAATTACCTAAATATCCTATTACAAAAAAAATTTAAAAAATAAACATAATTTTTTATTTAATAATACTTTTGTTGAATAATTATAATTCAATAAAATAACTTATCAACTTTTTGTAAAATATTATTTAATTTATTTATTCACTATTTTTGTTAATTATTTTTTATTTTATTTGAAATATAAATAAATATGTATTGTTTAATTATATTTTATAAGTATTTAAATTAAGTAGATAAAATATACTTTTTTTAGCAGAAAAAATATAATTTTTTTAAAGTAGATAAAACTTACATATTAAAAACAATTATAAAATATTTTTTAAAAAATGGTTGATTATACAAATTTATGAAATAAAATTCTTGTATATATAACATGTGGATCGTGTTTCTAAAAACTAGAACATTAACTAATGTCGTTCTTTCATTAGATAATTATTTTTTCTTAAAAATATCCCCAACGGGTAAAAAGTGTGTGTTTAGATAACACAAACTTATAAACATAATTTTTTTTTCCAATAAGCCAATTGAATCATTTGATAATTTTTTTAAAAAAAATATAACTTTTAAATAATAATTTATGAAAAGTTACTTTAAATAGCATTTAATTTATATAAAATTAGCTATTCAATATTTTTTTTTATTTCTATCTTTAACTTTTTAAATAGTTTGGTGAAAAAAAAATTAACTCACTTTATCCTCTAGTCCTATTCCCACGTTGCCACTTTTTACATTTCTTATTTAAATAATTTGTTAATATTAATTAAAAAATAAATATTTATTTAATTAATTGATGATACATAAATGTTTTATTAATTAATTGAATAAATATTTTCTAATAAATAAATAAATAAAAAGAGTGATATTTAATATTATGTCAATGTAATGTCATAATTTTTTTTGTCATTTAATGTGTTTCAATTAGTTATATAACTAATTTATTAAATAACTCTAATTTAATTAATAATAATAAATAATAATAAATAATATATTTCAATTAGTTAAATATTTGGAGAGAAAGTTTTGCTCTCTATAATAATCCTATTAAGCCTAAACAAAAATTGTTTCCAACGAAAGATAGTTGTAATTTAGAAAAAATAATAATAATAAATAATACATTTTAACTAACTTATTAGATTCAATTAATAAATTATAGAATTGTTGTCGGTTATAGAAACTTAAATGAAAAACCCATCTAATTAATAAATATTAAAAAAATTGCTAACAAGCGCTATAAAGTTTATTGTAATATGTATGATTTTTAAAATATACAAAAATAAAAATATTTTTATTGTACTTTTATATTTTAATTTTTAATAAAATTAATAAAAATGACTAAATAATATATAATTATAATTTAATTGTTTATTTAAAAAATATTTTACATAAATTTTTTAATAATATAATTATTTATATAATGTACAGAGATGTGGTTTTATCTCTCTATATATTAATATTTTTTATTAAAAGAAAATAAGGATCGCCTTACCCAAATAACGCCCATAGAAAACCTAACCAATAATTGTTGGTATGAATTAAATTAAATCTAATCAATTCAAGATCGCGTTGTGCTCACGCTCCGAGACAAGGAGTGAGGAACACATTCGAGTAAGTAATATAATTAAAAATAAAATATTAGCCCCAACTAATAGTGATATTTTATATGCCTATTGCTAATGGTATTATTATTTAAAACTTTTATTTGCCCAAACATATGACTGCGTTTTGAGTTCATTGTCTCCTTCAACAACATTTCTTTTTCTCTCCAATTCTTCTGCTTCTCCTTCTTGTTCCCTTATCTTTCTCTGCACTCCATCCATAGCACCCTCTCCTCTGTCTTTCTATTCTCTCCTCCAACTTCATCTTATCACAAACCCCTTCCTCTCCTTTTTTATTTCCACACGCACCACTGCGCTTAAAATAAACAAAAAACAAAAGCAGCCCAAACCCACACTGTTCTTAATCCAAAAATTTTAAAAATCTCTACTATTTATTAACAATATTTCTCCACATATAATAAAATCATTTCCCTTGTTTTCTGTTTTCCTCTTTTAATATATCTTTTTTGTTTTTTATTTTTGCACCTTATAGTTATATCCATCTATATATCTTTCTCTCTCCTTTTTTTATTTCTTTGATGTGTCTATGGCTGGTTTGGATTTAGGAAGCGCTTCACGCTTTGTTCAAAACCTTCACAGACCAGACTTGCACTTGCAACAACAGCAGCAACAGCACCACCCCGATTCGGAAGACCAAGAAACGCCGAACCGCGGAGCGGCGCCGTTTTCAGGCGAAGACGATGACCGAAGCCAAGGCCTGGAGCTAGGCTCGGGTGGACCCGGTGACGTGGTGGGTCGGCGTCCACGTGGCAGGCCACCAGGCTCCAAGAACAAGCCGAAGCCGCCGGTGATCATAACAAGAGAGAGCGCCAACACGCTAAGGGCTCACATCCTCGAAGTCGGAAGCGGCTCCGACGTGTTCGACTGCGTCACCACCTACGCGCGGCGTCGCCAGCGCGGGATCTGTATTCTCAGCGGCAGCGGCACCGTTACCAACGTCAGTCTCCGGCAGCCTGCGGCGGCGGGAGCTGTCGTCACGCTCCACGGACGGTTCGAGATACTCTCGTTGTCGGGCTCGTTCCTGCCGCCGCCGGCTCCTCCGGGGGCGACGAGTCTGACGATATATCTTGCCGGCGGGCAGGGGCAGGTGGTCGGAGGGAGTGTGGTGGGGGAGTTAACGGCGGCCGGGCCGGTGATTGTGATTGCGGCGTCGTTCACGAACGTGGCGTATGAGAGGTTGCCGTTGGATGAGGAGGAACAGCTTCAGATTCAGCCACCAGGTGCGGCGGGGTCTCAGGGTTCCGGTGGCGGTGGTGTTGGGAATAATGGTAACCCTTTCCCTGACCCTTCTTCGGGGCTTCCTTTCTTCAATTTGCCGCTTAATATGCAGAATGTTCAGTTACCTGTGGATGGTTGGGCGGGAAACTCAGCTTCACGTCCACCACCTTTTTGAGCTTTCTTCTTTTTTCACGTGATGATGCCTCTGAAACTGCAATCAATCTGATTTCATCGTTGGATATATATATATATATATATATATATATATATATATATATATACTTCTGAAGATGTTAATCGAGGATTGTTTGAAAGTGGATGTTTCTAAGGTCAGCAAATTCATGGACTGCATATATATAAATTATATGATATGCTTCCTCTTCTTCTTTTTCTCATCTGTTGTTAATTAATGGACATGATGATGACTATGTAGTGCGTTTCGGTCTTGTACTTCTTCTGCTTAGTGACTCATTGGATTCTGATTTGATCTCTTTTGGTTTTTTGCTTAATTTCCTTGTCCATTATTATAATATGGAGCGCTATATAATTTTGTAGGTTGGTTAATGGTTATTTATTATATGTTCTCTTTCTTATTTTATTTTTCTGAGATGTTTGAGGATTTAGTGTTTTATATTAACACTTGCACTTGCTACATGTTTCAAGGAACTGGTTGTCGTTAGACATGAAGCAATAACTCGCAACTCACAACTCCATAACCAGCAACCACCCAGCCCTCTCTCTCTCTCTCTCTCCCCCCCTTTATTTCCGTGCCTTTTTCCCCCTCGAGTTGGTTTTGTCTATTTCAAACATATACTGCTAGGCTCACGCAAACAAACAAAAATCATTTTCTCAGTCGTAGTATAACCTTAGTGAGAGATGAACAAAGAGAGAGAGAAGTAAAAAGACGTGCAGGTATTATGAGGCGACAGGAAGAGAAAAGTAAAATGAAAAAGGGTGAAAGAATGCATGTAAACAAATATCGTGATTCCTAATGCAAGTTCCCTAGCTGGATTCACAAGGTTAATAGTAATTATTGTTTGAGTTAGGTTACTTTATTTTCAGAGGAAAGTAAAATTATATATGAAAGAGTACTAGATCATGTACGAATTAAGTAGAAGACACACACGGTATCAAATCCTAGCATTATTTGTCAATCTAACCAAATACATACGTACACCAAATTTGGGTTAGGTGTACATATGTTAGTATGTATATAAAATGTATGCTTATAAAACTAGTGATTCATAATAAACAGAAGGCGGTCCCTTTACGATTTTAATTTTAGAGGTCAGTATGTACAAATATGGGGAAATTATCTGCTTATATAAAGCCAATGTTTTTATTCCCAGCAAGAGCTTCTAGCTAGCAATGCTCAACAATCATAAGCATACAAATCTTCAGGTTGAACTTCGTCCACGCAATTTAATATATAGAAAGTAGTCTTTGTAAGCTTTCCGCTGCATATAAATTAATTACTACACAAAAAAAAATATTGGAAAATGAGTTACTTAAAAGCTTGCTTTCTATCAAATTTATATTTCCCATGGAAACCTGTCATTGAATGTGTTTGTATGACATGCATACTTGTCTATCATTTTCTGTTTCTGGCTAGTACGGCAAATCAACATTAATTGGTTTCCTCCTCCAGCACTAGCCAAGGTCAGTACATAGTACTTTCTATTTTCTGGACATTATGGCCTGGATATAATTATAACATTGAAAAACTTAATTTACTAATTAGATCCTCTGATGAATAGAAGTCTGTGTGTTAAATATGGCTAGTTCAACTCTTTTCGTGAATGATCTGGTTAAGATTGAAAAAAGTCATGCATCACTGCCTCTGCTGGGGGAATTTACCCTAACCTGAAACTTCGATCATCTAATGGTGAAAGGAAGTGAAGATACAATGGATAAGGTGGTAGTAATATTGGCCTCTACATATTGAAACACTTGCACCATTTATTTCGTTCAGCTATTTGCTTAACTATAATTAAATCTACAAGCTTCAATTAAGGTTAGAATCTGATTTTATCTTCCAAGTCATGACCTCATATTTTAGTAGCATGTGGGGTTAATTACTAATTAGACGCGTGACATAATTACATTTATATTCATCTATGGAACAAATGATGAATAAGTGTAGGTTCGATCTAGGCAGCTTAGGTTTCCGGCGCGGACAAGATTTAAATATTGCTAAATGGTAATGTCACAACTAGCTTTTATTTATTCTCCACTTAATATGTTTTAATGAAAAGTACCTTGCGTTTCTGATGAAGTGCTGACCTTGCACTTCCACAGCAGTGAAGCTGTTCCAGGCTTTTGATCAAGCAAATTGTGATGGTGCTTCATTATCCTCCGACCGAATTGCATTTGATTCTATAAGCACTTAGCTTCAAGAATATACCTTCACTATAGTTTGTCACTAATCCATGTACATACACGCATTGCCTAATGTAGTAATGTACTCTAATAATTTTTATTAATTATAAGCTGCAATCTTTCTTCTGTACATCTAATATGTATGTTTCTGGAGTCTGCTCTCTGGATATTAACCATTATTTTCCTGAGTGTGTGTTTGGCCATTTGGTGATGAATTTCGTGCCAATGTTTTCGTTAGTTCTTCGAATTCTGCTGAGGATGTGATGATAGGTGTCTGCCGGGTTAAATATTCTTGATTAACCTTCAGCATCTTTAACTAGTAATTCTACATGCATGGGTTATTTGGGTGATAATGATGTTCTTTAGCTTATACAACTTTAACCCAGGTACCTCCAACACGAAATATAGCAATATTTGCAAATACCAATTTCATTCTACCGTGTAAACTCTTGATCTATTCCCTAATATATGATGAATTTGTTTTAAGTTATTCTATAGAATACATAATCTCGCTTTATGTAAAATAATAAAGTTAAGAAATTTTATTAAAAATTATATTAAATTTTTATTAATAAATTCTTTAATCTACTTAATATAAAATAATTTACTTCATGAGATAATTTAGACAATCTCTGATACTATATGTGCTGATTATTTTATTTCTTTATAATATTGAAACTATTTTAATATTTCACTTTATGAAACTTCATTCATGTTAGTGAATTAAACTGATGGGACTAAGGACATCACAAATAAGCTTTAATAATAGCAATTAACAAATTGTATTTTTTTTAAAGCTAATAAAGGTTGTTTATTAATACCAATTCTTTGAAGAGTTGATATATTACATCGCTGCAGTTAGAGCCATCTTGTCACAAGCCCCCCACCGCCACCGCGGTTCTCAGAGCCATCTTCTGCTTGGAGCTCCACCATACCAAATCCTTATTCCTTCCAAGAATCAACCAACAAGACGACAACAACAATGAAGCTTATGGTCCTCAGCTTATTTCCTCACTGGCGACATTCCCTATCATAATCTTGCTAGTCATAGTACAAGCTCAAAAACATCTATATATCAATTGAGTATTTTATATAGGCATGAAAATCAAACACTTAGCGTTGAGCAAGACATTGTAAAAAGGAAGGGTTGGGGAAAGCAAGCACATAAACATTTATTTAATTTTTTTGGTAAACATAAACATTTATTTAGTTGGTTTGACCTATATATGTAGAACCCAAAACCTTTACAAGATGAGATTTTTCGTTACCAATAGATTGTTCTTTCATCAACCCTAACCATCTAAGTTAAACATGAGTATTTTTTATCAAACAACTCCGACTTAAAATGGGGTAGGTTGTTTACAAACCTACCCTATACAAATATATACTTTTTGAAGTCTAGCCTCTCCAAGCTTAAAACGTGCTTCACAAGAATTTCACAAAATAACACATTATAAACATGAATGGGAGTGACAAGTTTGTTTGTGTGTCCTCTTTCCTATTCCCTCAATAAAAGGAAAAAAAAAAAAAAAATTCAACAAAAAAAAAAAAAAAAAAAAAAAAAACAACATATGAGGGAGGGTTAGTGCTTAAAAAAGAGGGAAAAGAAATTAACTACACGTCTTTTTTCTGTTGAGAAAAGAAGGAGGCCAACTAGAGAAGTGATTTCAATCGTTTAAATACCCAAACAAATAGTTAAATTTCCTACAAAAGCTTAATATAAAGCTAATACAAAATGATAATCCATGAAAAAAAAACAAATAAATCTCTTGCATTCCTTTCCTTGCAAAATGACATTTTCGTCTTCACTTTAAACCTGATTGCCTTCGCTATTCAATTCGATTAACACTTGTTAGTTTTTAGAGAAATATTGCTAAACAGTCCATTTAGAAATGTGAAACGCAAAACGTGAAGGAGCATACGTGGTATTCTAAATCTTGACATTATAGCAGGCTTATCGTTCTTATTCCACAGCTCGTTCCAGAATTCAATTTTTTTTTGGGGTGCTACAGAGGAGGCTGGCGACTTTGACGGTGACAGAGACGAGAGAGACTGAAACAGAGAGTGGTGGCGGTGGCAAAGAGTTAGTGAGAGAGAGATCGAGAGAGTGTGAATAGATATCGAGAAAGAAAGAAAGAAAAACTGATTATTATTAAGTATTAGCTAATAATTTTAGAAAGCGATTAGCTCTTAACCAATCTCTAGAGTGATCTACACATATCAATTATTCTCTAAATCATTACTTTAGAAGTCAGATTCTCAGATATATGTAGCAACTGCTCTCTAAGTAAGTTTAGAGATCGGTCCTATTCTCTCCGTTCTGTGAGTAACTGTCCTAAAAGGCTTGACATTGCACAGTGTAGATATCATCTTCTCTAGATTTTTTATTGTTCTCCATTAAAATGAAAATTAAGGAACATTTCTAATGTAGGCTTCTTGATCATTTTATTATTAGATAGATACTGCATCTTCAATGCAAAGAGCTCTTATCTCTTTGTTTCTATTTTGCTCACTGTATTTTGTATTCTCCATTTAACTTTGATAAATCTGGGAACAGATTCGATTATGTTAAATTTTTATATGACAATAAAATATGAAAGTTTTGTATCTGTCTCTTTTTTAATAAATATTGAATAAGTGAGAACTTATAAAAATTAAAATAAATTCCACTTTACTTTCATTTAGTTTTATGTTTTTTTTTAGTTTATTTCTTGTACTTTTTTTTACGTCACTAAAACTTTTTATACTTCTTTTGTATCACTTAAATTTTCTATAGTGCTATTTTGTATCATTTTA